AGTTGGACCAAAGCCTCAAGGTAAGGAAGTCCTCCAGCTTTTAGGAGATGGTTCTCATCTTCGATTTCACTTTACAGGTTTCTGGGAGAGTCACCTACAATGGCCACACATTGACTGAATTTGTGCCTCAAAGGACTTCTGCTTACATAAGCCAACACGACTTGCATAGCGGGGAGTTGACAGTGAGGGAGACGTTTGATTTTGCTTCTAGGTGTCAAGGCGTGGGAAGCAGATATCGTAAGCAAAGTCCTGGGTTGGCGTGCAAGTGGAATTGACTTTCTTATAACTTGTGTTAGAGATGATAACGGAGCTTTCAAGACGGGAGAAAAATGCCAAGATCAAACCGGATCCTGATGTTGATGCGTTCATGAAGGTAATAAGCACTTTTTGGTTGGCAGCGTTCTTACGAGCTTCTTACAGGCGTCGGCTATAGAGGGTCAGGAGACCTCCATTGTGACGGACTATGTGCTGAAGGTAAGCGTGTTTTGGATCGTGATCAAAGAGGATTCGCGGTTCTCATGCATTTTTTCGCTTCCAGATTTTGGGTTTGGACGTATGTTCTGATATACTTGTCGGAGACGCCATGCGCAGGGGTATTTCTGGAGGACAAAAGAAGCGTGTCACTACAGGTGCCTGGAAGCTTTTTGGTCACGATTTGTTTATGACAAATGTTTATTTTGCAGGAGAGATGCTCGTTGGGCCTGCAAAGTCTCTTTTCATGGACGAGATTTCAACCGGTCTCGACAGCTCGACCACATTTCAGATAGTGAAGAGCTTAAGGCAGTTTGTCCATGTGCTCGATGCTACCATGGTCATCTCCTTGCTCCAGCCTGCTCCCGAGACGTTTGAGCTTTTCGACGACTTGATTCTTCTATCGGAGGGGCAGATTGTGTATCAGGGGCCCCGGGAACTCGTGTTGGATTTCTTCGAGACGCAGGGATTTAAATGTCCTCCGAGGAAAGGTGTCGCGGACTTTTTGCAAGAAGTCACGTCAAGGAAAGACCAGGAACAGTATTGGGCTGACAAGAGGATGCCATACAGATTTATACCTGTCCAGGAGTTCGCGGATGCCTTTCAAAAGTTCCATGTCGGTCAGAACATTGCTGAAGAATTGGCGCGGCCTTTTGACAAGAGTAAAAGCCATCCGGCAGCTCTTGTCACTCAGAAGTACGCTCTTAGTAACTGGGAGCTTTTCAAGGCTCTCTTGGCGCGGGAGATACTTTTGATGAAGAGGAACTCATTCGTCTACGTGTTCAAAAGTTGTCAGGTATGCTATCAAAGACTAAAATCTATATATCTGATACTAAAATTTCCAATGCAGCTGATTGTTATAGCCGTAATCACGATGACTGTGTTTCTCCGGACCGAAATGCATCACAGAACTGTTGGCGATGGCAGTCTCTACATGGGAGCCTTGTTCTTCGGCCTGATCATGGTCATGTTTAATGGATTTGCGGAGTTGTCGATGACCATTGCGCGCCTTCCAGTATTTTACAAGCAGCGGGACCAGATGCTATTTCCTGCGTGGGCATTTTCTCTTCCTAACGTGATCACTCGAATTCCAGTGTCCCTGCTCGAATCAGCAATTTGGGTGTGCATGACGTACTACGTGGTTGGATTTGCTCCTAGTGCCGCCAGGTTTGTTACATTGATGTTTAATGAGAAATAGTGTTGATATTTTATGTTTGAGTGTTTCAGGTTCTTCCAGCAGTTCCTCCTCATGTTCCTAATTCATCAAATGTCGGGAGGTCTTTTCCGATTCATTGCTTCACTTTCTCGGACTATGGTTGTAGCAAACACCTTCGGCTCTTTCACGCTGCTGATAGTTCTTGTCCTCGGTGGTTTTCTTCTTTCTAGAGGTAATCCATTGACTATACTCAGGTAGCACAACTTATAATGGTCTTTAATTTCCAGAGGACGTTGAACCTTGGTGGATTTGGGGATATTGGTCGTCGCCCATGATGTACGCACAGAATGCGCTTGCCGTGAACGAGTTCAGTGCATCAAGATGGCAGATTCTCGAAAATGCCAATCAGACCACCACCGTTGGCAACCAAGTTCTAGAGTCTCGAGGCCTGCTCCCCAATAAAAACTGGTATTGGCTTGGAACTGGTGCTCAGTTGGCTTATGCCATTCTCTTCAACGTTGTTTTCACTTTGGCACTCGCTTACTTCAGCGGTACGTAGGAATCTATTTCTTTTCTCCATGTAGGTACTCATTTTTTATATTCAAACAGCTCCTGGGAAACCGCAGGCCGTAGTGTCTGAGGAAATACTAGAAGAGCAGAACATGAATCGTACCGGCGAAGTCTCAGAAAGATCAGTGCATGCAAAATCAAAGCGATCCGGCAGATCTTCTAATGCAGGTAATGGCGCCATCACAAATTTCATTATATGGTCTAACATCGAATGCCAGGAGATTTGGAGCTTACGTCTGGTCGAATGGGTGCCGATTCTAAAAGGGGAATGATACTCCCGTTTCAACCTTTAGCAATGTCATTCAATCATGTTAACTACTACGTTGACATGCCCGCGGTATGCTTTTACGCATTTCCTTTGTAGGATATTGAGTTCTAATGTACTTGTAACAGGAAATGAAGCAACAAGGCGTGACAGAAAATAGATTACAGTTGCTGCACGACGTAAGCAGTAGCTTCAGGCCTGGAGTTCTCACGGCTCTTGTCGGTGTAAGCGGTGCTGGAAAGACAACTCTCATGGATGTTTTAGCCGGGCGTAAAACTGGTGGCTACATTGAAGGCGACATTCGCATCTCCGGCTATCCCAAAAACCAGGCTACTTTTGCTAGGATTTCGGGTTATTGCGAACAAACTGACATTCATTCACCCAACGTTACAGTGTACGAGTCACTGGTTTATTCTGCTTGGCTCCGACTATCGGATGACATTGATAAGGGGACGAAAAAGGTAAGGAGAGAGATGTTTTTCGTAGTCAAGTTTTCTAAGGTGAGTTTTGGAACAGATGTTTGTGGAAGAAGTTATGGAGCTTGTAGAGCTTAACCCTCTCCGGGATGCGTTGGTTGGTCTCCCTGGAGTTGATGGACTTTCGACCGAGCAGCGGAAACGACTGACAATTGCCGTGGAGCTCGTTGCAAATCCTTCAATTATTTTCATGGACGAGCCAACTTCCGGACTGGATGCACGAGCGGCAGCAATTGTCATGAGAACGGTCCGGAACACTGTCGACACCGGTCGCACTGTCGTCTGCACCATTCATCAGCCTAGCATTGACATTTTTGAGGCCTTCGATGAGGTACGCGATTATTACCTTGCAAACTCTCTTGAAAACCTGCCTGCTTTCTCCAGCTTCTGTTGATGAAACGCGGAGGGCGCGTTATCTACGCAGGTTCCTTGGGAAAGAACTCGCACAAACTTGTTGAATACTTCCAGGTAAGTCGCTTGCTTTGTTCTTGCAGACTTGAGATGATTTATATGGATTAATTTCCCCAGGGTATTAGCGGTGTTCCTAACATAAGAGAAGGATACAATCCAGCTACATGGATGTTAGAGGTTACCGCTGCAGACGTGGAGAGTCGTCTGGGAGTAGATTTTGCGGACATCTATAAAACTTCTCCAGTCTACCAGTAAGCACACTTGACCCTTATCTCTTTCTTGGCTAAACCACTGGTGTGTCTAGGCACAATGAAGCTATTATTACTCAGCTGAGCACTCCGGTTCCCGGCACGGAGGACATATGGTTTCCAACGCAATACCCTCTGTCGTTCCTCGGACAGGTCATGGGATGCTTGTGGAAACAACATCAGTCATACTGGAAAAATCCATACTACGTTCTGGTTCGCATGTTCTTCACCTTGGTTGTCGCGATAATATTTGGCACAATGTTTTGGGACATCGGCTCCAAAAGGTAAACGTTGCCTAGTTCAATCGAGCGTTGGTTCTGACTCCTGCCTTTCTCTCGTGAGCAGATCACGAGAACAAGACCTCTTTAATCTGATGGGATCTATATACGCTGCTGTGCTCTTCATTGGGTTCAGCAATTCATCAGGAGTGCAGCCGGTCGTTGCTATTGAGCGAACGGTCTACTATCGAGAAAGAGCCGCTGGAATGTACTCTCCCCTTCCATATGCTTTTGCTCAGGTAAGGCATACATCCGACTCTTCAGATTTCGTTTGACTCATCAAGGAAAACTCTGTGCGTCCAGGTCCTGATCGAGATTCCCTACGTGTTCGTGCAAGCCTTCTCGTATGGACTCGTTGTGTACGCGACGATGCAGCTGGAATGGACAGCAGCCAAGTTCTTGTGGTTCCTCTTCTTCTTGTACATGACGTTCCTCTACTTCACGCTCTACGGCATGGTGACGGTGGCGCTGACACCGAACGACCAGATTGCAGCCATCGTATCCTCGGCATTCTACGCAATCTGGAACCTGTTCTCTGGCTTCATCATCCCTCGACCCGTAAGTTCATGAATTCCACACATTTCTTTTCCGATTTCTTAACACTTTGGTTTGTTTCTTGGTGTCTCTCAGGCAATTCCAGTGTGGTGGAGGTGGTACTACTGGGCCTCGCCACCGGCGTGGTCTCTCTACGGCCTCTTCACGTCTCAGCTTGGAGATGTCACCACGCCGTTGTTCCGGGCCGACGGCGAAGAGACGACCGTGGAGCGCTTCTTGAGGTCCAACTTTGGGTTCAGGCACGACTTCTTGGGCGTCGTGGCCGGAGTTCACGTCGGCCTCGTCGTCGTCTTCGCGGTGTGCTTCGCCATCTGCATCAAAGTTTTCAACTTCCAGAACCGATGATCGATCGACTGGTTTTCGTGGAAGAAATTCTAAAGAACGAAGAAACTCGGTGCTGCCCCCATAACGTTAGCACAACAGTTTTTACAATGAAGAGAATGTACAGTTTTCTTTGTATTATATAACCAGCCAAAAGGCTGGGTTTTTTTTTTTTTTTTAATGTGTACTTTTAGAATATTCGGTCTCACGCGGGAGAATATGCCACGAAATTGAGGAGCGAGGAGGAGGGGTTGAAACCCTCTGGGTATTCTCGTGTTCTTGATGGTTTGGGGACTTCTCGCGGAGGCGGTGGCTGCCAGGGCGCCCTAGCGCGTGAAGGATCGATTTTGGGAGCTCGGGCGGCATGGCATGGCGTCAGTTGCTGGAGAAGGTATGGCGCTCTCTTTCCTCTCTCCCATTATGGCTGCGCCCGCGCTGATTGCCCGCGGATTTCGACCACAGGGAGGCTCCTCCGCCAAGCAGATGGTGTCGGCGGCATCCTTGTATGGGCTGGGACGCGCGATTGTGTTGAAGCAGCTGGATGCAGGCATTTTTCTATCCGATTTCCCTCGTCCTCTTCCCGTTGCTAATGACGCTTGAATTTCGGATGGCGCAGGGATCGTGTTGAATCGCCTCAAGAGACGCTGCATGTCGAGCTACACAAGCAATTTCTCGAGAAGGCTGGAGGAGCTGGAGAGAGAAGGAGGCCCCGATGCTCGGAGAAACAAGTGAAGTTTCTAAGAGATCTTAACAAGGTGGATCCCGAGGGAGTGATTTGGTGGTTCGAGAGTAGACCACTTCCGCAGCACAGCGCCGGTGCTTTGGCCGAGTATCTCAAAGCTCTCGTCAAGGTCGATAGGCTCGATGACAGTGCCTTGTTGAAAACGCTGCAAAGAGGTAAACGCTGTGACTCTTTCTTTATCGGATCTGATCCTCCTTTTTTCTTTTAAACCGTGTAGGAGCAACTGCATCGCTAGGAAGTTTTCAAGCTGAGGCGCGACCGATCATGTCTTCGGCATTTCCGGCAGTAGGAGCAGCCACGAAAGACGGAATTTTGGGCTCTCCCAGTGCGCCAATCCACATGGTCACGTCCGAAGGAGGTTTTAGAGTTCAAGTGTGGCGGACTGTTCGAACCTTGGCTCTGGGCTTTCTCCTTCTCTCTGGCGTTGGGGCCATTATAAGGGCCTCAGCAAAGGTAAGCATCGTAGAGCATGGCTTGCAATGCAGCGACTGGAAAGACGATGCTGGCTCGGGCAACTGCTGGTGAAGCAGGGGTACCGTTTTTCTATTGCAGCGGGAGCGAGTTCGAGGAAGTGTTCGTCGGATGTGGTGCTCGGCGAGTGCGGGACTTATTCGCAAGCACTCGCCATGCATAATCTTCATGGACGAAATTGATGCAATAGGTGGGAGCTGAAATCCCAAGGACCAACAGTACATGCTGGTGGAGCTGAACGGTTTCAAGCAAAACGAAGGCATCATAGTGATCGCGGCTACGAACTTCCCCGAATCTCTCGACAAGGCGCTTATCCGTCCTGGTCAGTTCGATCGGCATGTGGTGGTTCCAAATCCAGACATCCAGTTAGAGAACATCCATTTATGTATAAACACCTTGCTTTTCTTTTTTTGTTTTTTCTCATTTTTTTATCTCTTATTTTTCTTCTCTTGAACTTTGATCTTTCTTGTATAGATAGCAACAGGTTTTCTGGCACAAGTTTTATAGTGAAAGAAGATGCCTTAGCTATTTGAACACCTACCTAGAGGTCACATTAACGTTCTTGTTACATAAATGTATAAGTTTAGTCTCTTGTTATATGGGTTGTAGTGTTCTTCTTTTAAGAAACTTCTTTTTTATAATTCTTTTTTATAACTATTTTTCTTATCAAATCTGTTGTGGGTTATGTAAAGCACTCACAACACATAAACTCGTCTCGTGTCCAAATTCACAATTTAATGCCATTTCATATTTAGTAAGTTTCAAGCCTGTCCCAGATACTAACTCCTGATACTGAGGGAGGCTTAAAGTGAAAGCCCAAAGCGTGTATTCTTTAGGGGGGGTGGCTGGGTTATAAGGGGGTTCCAAATGTATATTAGGGATAGTGAGTCAGTCGAGCATGGCCAACCAACCTAAGGCTCCCGCTTGCGTGTCTGTCTTTGTTCTGCATCTGGCATGTATCATATGGCATAAAGAGGGTTTAGGCTCCACTTTTTGGTGTTCTCCTATGGTAAATCACCATAGGATAAAGGGTCAAAACCACATGCATTACATTTTCCCTATAGTTTTAAAAGTATTTTTCATTTATAAATTCTTGCAAGTTGACTATATGATTGTGGCTTTTACTTCTGGCTGCTACACACATCATCAAATTTGTAAATGACTAGACAAGCATGCATAGCATATAGTGGTAATCACTACAATACTAAAAAGAAGAAGACGAAAAGGTAATTTTAATGGGGTAATTTATTTTGTTTATAAGCATGAATTAACATTATGAGCACCACTCATTAGATTGAGTTTTCATTTTATATCTCAATTTTATTTGTAGAACAAGTATATAGATATACTACTTAATAAAGCAATGTGTTTTAGGTATTTTTAGAAATGATAAGTAGGCTCTAAATATAGAAATACACCCCTTTTTTATACAAAGGTGAACAAGCCACACTATTGAGGAGTAAGGTTGTTTATTCACATTAGTTGAGAGCAAAAATACATAAAATTGGGAGTTTGATCCATATTTGAGTATATTGACAGTCATATGTAGCTTCTATGCAAATGCCTCCATGCAGCATTTACATAAACTCCAATTGTTTATGTTCTTTGTAAGTGCTTCTATTTTGTATAGATAGGTGAATTCTTTTGTTCTCTATTTAAACAAATTTAAAGTTTCAAAAACTTCATAGGATCTACTTTTGCATCCTTAATGTCATGCATCCTCTTTTTCTACTTGGGCATAGCTCAACATGTACTCCATAGCTTCCACCCTAGACATGTAATGATCTTTGCTAATATTGTTCTTGAAAGCAATGGAGTGCAACTCATTACCCTCTTTATCTTAGAGATGGAATTGCTGGCTTCTATAATTGCCACTTGAGATTGGTAGATAGAAAGAAAAGGCTTTGACACAAGAGAGCTAATGTCATTAGTCTATTTGCTAGGAGAAAATTTCTGTAATGTAGCTATATAATTTAATTATATTTTCCCACACAATTGCAAAACTAAATTTTCAAGTTCCCAACTGTAGTGTGGCAATAGAGAGGTTGCACTAGATCTATTCTCTGCAATGAAGTGCTAAGGATTAGTTAGATAAGAATTTAGAATAAGCTAATATCTTGTGTTAGGGTGGGGTTCCATGTGTGCCTCACCTGGAAATTTCTCCACCCCAGAAAAAAAACTCCCCCCTTCTAAAAGCTTATAACCCTGTTTTACTAATATAAATGTATGATTAAAAAATGAAAACACGGCAAGCCAAAGTTTCCAGTTCAATTTTATACCATAATTTTTCAAAAATATATTAATTAACTAGCAAGGAATCCAGCTCTCATGGCCTATGAAAATAAATTTTTAATGATGTCTTACTAAGATAGAAACATTGTTCAAAAACAATCTTGTAAATCTTTTTAAAGTACATGCATACCATATGAAATAAATTACATGTTGATTTTCATGATCTGCTCAACATTTTAATTTGTTAAAATAAAAATTAATAATGAAGTTTTTATAAGAGAAATTTATTAATAAATCTAATATTTAAACTGTCAAAATAAACTATACTTCTGACTTTAAAATTAACTCAGAGATATTTATATCACTTTTTGGTAAAAATAAATCAATATATACAAAATATTATATATACAGCTTAACAAAATCCCATATATACTTTAAAAATTAAAGATGTGTATATTCATAAAATTCTGGATAATTATATTAGTTTCTTATAAGGATTATTATCTAGTTATTATAAACATTTTAAAGATTTAATTCAATTAGTTTAACTTCACATAAAATATTTTAAAGTAATATCTGTTTTCAAACATTTTGTTATTTAACTTATAGCATTCTTCCCAATCTTATAATACATAGTCTGTTTAAAAGGTTTTTTGCCCAATGGAAGGGATTATCAAGTATTATAACAAGTTGAGTTATAAGTTTATAATATTCAACATGACATTCAGGAAACCAATCTTTCATAAATTATATATATGTAACAATTAAAGCACTTGGATTATCAAGTATTATAACAAGTTGAGTTATAAGTTAATAAGATTCAACATGACATTCAGGAAACCAATCTTTCAGAAATTATATATATGTAACAATTAAAGCACTTTACAAAAGGATCATGAATAAATTATATTATCTATGGATGCACTAGTGCCTTCTCTTTATATTCTTCTAGTATTGACTATCCTTCTGAAAGGAGTTATATTATTGTATATTATCATGAATGTAGTGAAACTTTAATAAATACTGGATTGGATTCAATTTGGACCACTTTCTACTCAAATACAATAGAAATTTATATGTAGTTTAAGTGTTTAAAAACTTCACTTGGACCAATGGAAAAATGCTTGTTAAATACTAATCCCAAAACCTCACATTATCAACTTGTGGCAATTGTAAATATAAAATAACTATATTAGCAATATAAAATTATGAGTATACCTATAATATATATACAAGCTAGAAAGATAATAAATAAGCATCCCAATTTAAATATTGAAATTTTATATATTTTGCAATCATCCCTTTGAAGGTCATAATGATTTATTCCATGAAACCATCATTTTATTAATTATTAACACACAATGATGTAGTGTCTCCTTAGTTGAGATATTAAGATGTAAAATGCTTCAACCATATGTGTGGGATCATTATTTGATCCACTCTCTTTGGAACACCATTTGACAAAAAATATCTAACAACAAATACAAATGCAACTTCTACTAATGGGTTAAATAGTTGGATTAGCAGTAGTCAACCACAAAAAAGCCTTATTAAGTAAAACACTATTAGCACAAATAAATGGGAAATTATAATTGATTCTAACTATCAAATTTTAAAACAATTATAAGTCTATCAAGATCAACTTATATGTCTTTGTGAGAAATGCAATACCCAAGATAAATCTTGGGATCCAAACAAGAAATTAGACTACTTTAGTTTCAAATCAATTTGACACAATTAATTTAACACCTTTTGGATATTATAGACATATATACTCCTATTATGTCCCTTTTGAGTGGATCAAAATATCAATAATAATGTTAGTAGTTATTTTTAGCATATTGTAGAGAAACTTATCTATTATCCACTGGAAAGTTGCAAAATTATTATTCAAATGAAAAAATCATGTAATAAAATTTTGATTTAGCACTATCCGTAACAATTTAAACTCAAGTTTATGATCACACAACTAAATTTGTTTTATGCTATACATATGCATATGGTTGTTGTTATAGAGAGTGAAAACTAGCTTCACCATATGATGCAAATGTAGACAATAAGATATGGTAACAGACAGAGCAATGAAAGATAAATTTAAATTCGTATAAGGAAATACAAAAAAGGATAGACCTTTTATTATAAAGAAAACTTAGAAAGTGGTTAAATAGGTATTAAATGAACCTCTTGATGAAAGAGAGCAATAAAAAAGAAATGGAACATTTACAAGAATAAAAGAAATCTAAACAATGCAAAAGTTAAATAAAAAAAATATAAATCTAATTACTCCTAACATTGCCCTTCATCTCCTATGTATAATATGTATATTTATATTACTCCAAAACCCTAGGTTATATAGAAGAAAATGTGGATCAAAATGCTATTATATTTTTAATTTTTTAAAATTGAGGCAAAATTAATTAATTAGAGAAAATTATTTAATTTGAGGTAAATTAAATAATTAAGTCAACTTATTAATTAATAAAACATGATAAATTCAACATAATCAAATGGATTGTCTACAAGTACATGAATTGTGGCCAAGTTCATTACATGGGTCATAAATTGGCTCAAACTAATTAATTTAATATTAAATTAAATAATAAAATTAACATATTAATATATTATATTTTCTACATTAATTTATTTTTTGAAATCCCCCCAATTTGAAACTGTGAGTGCTTGGAATATGGAAAGGGAATACAGAAATGTACATATTAATTAGCCCAAAAACCCTAGCTTATATACAAGAGCGAGTGGTCCAGATTGAAACCAATCCGACGGCTACCAAAATCCCACTATGCTAATATTAGTATACGACATCGTAACCGTACACTTGGCCCTCACATCATCCCCTCCTCTCGGGATAATGGAAGACCATCAGGGTTCTCTTGAAAATGGGCCGGGATCTGGAGGAACATTAGGAGGAGGTATCGGTGGATTTGTAGGTGGTATTAACTCCTCTTGATCCCTTTGTACGAAGCATTTCAGCCGTTGCACATGCACAATCTCTGGAGGATCGGCTTGCTGAACGTCATGCCGAACCTCATAAACTTGTGGTCCAACTTGCCGCAACACCCGATATGGTCCTTTCCATTGCGCAAAAAGCCCCTTAAATAAACCACATACCGTAAGATGGGGAAAACGGGCTAACACCAAATCATCCACTTTGTACTCCACAAGTGAATGA